GAATAAAAAACAGTGTATATGTATACATATGTGAGTAGAATAGAATAGAATAGAATAATCCTTTAATTGTCCCACAAGGGGAAATTTGGTTGTAACAGCAGCCAGAAAGACACATATACAAACAAACAGTACACAGAACAGAAACATACACAATTTTTCTTACATATTTACACATGGACAATGGTTACTATAAACAGAGTACTGTACAGTTATAAAATTAAATAAAAATAACTACAGGTAAGAGGCAAACCAGGTTGTAGTGCGAAATCGGTTGATTAAATTATTGCAGTTACAGCATTGATGTAAACATCTATGTTTGTTGGGAGCAGTTCTGATTGTACAGTCTGACAGCTGCAGGGAGGAAGGACCTGCGGAAACGCTCCTTCATGCATCTAGGATGCAGCAGTCTGTCACTGAAGGAGCTCTGCAGTTCAGCAACATTTACATGCATGGGGTGGGAGACTCTGTCCATCAGAGATGTTATTTTGGCCAGAGTCCTTCTGTCTCCCACCACCTGCACTGGGTCCCAGAGTCAGACATCAAACGTAGCTCCTGGGCACAAGTTCAGTTTAATAAGAACAAAATGTATTTATAACAATAGTAATGTTGCGGGAATTGCCGTCTTGTGTGTGACTGGGTGCAGTAAGGAGTGTATGTGATGTGTGTGTGAGCATGCGCGTGAAGGAAACGCGGGGAGCAGAAAGAGAAAAATGGAGAGAGTGTGTCATGGGTAGAGAGGGCGACCGGGAGCAGCGTTCTAACGGGCTACAGGCTATGCAGTGTGTTTTCGAAGTGTGCAGTACTGTTATTAAAGCCTCATCTCTTCAGTACTCTCCGGTGCCTCGGCTGATTTCTGTCTGCCTCACTACTCCACAAAAGTGAAGGGAGTTAACCCCGAAGGAGGACAAACTTCGGCCCTGGAGGAAGCATCTCCCCTCGCGTCTCCCGACCACGGTCAAGGGACTGACTGTAACAGTGTTTATGTGGTATTATCCACTTGCCACAAATATCAGTGTAATGGGGAAACAGCGCCCCCCTCCGGGGTGTGGCTGGTTAGGTGAGGCTGGCTGCAGAGATCGCTGCCAGTCTGCCGTAGCCATACGAGAGGTGAGTTGTATTGTTCCGCACACGATATAGCTATAGGGTTGCCAACTCCCTGAAAAATAAATAAGGGACACCTCGTGGCCAGGGCCGGGCAACCCAGTTGTCTTCACCCTTCCCAGTGTGGTGAATTTTCTAGCTCTTTTTTTGTGTGTGAAATTATTTTTTTTAACCATTTGACTTGAAGTTGATTTAAGTAGATGCATATTCTATTCTTTGTGATATGAACACATGTGAAACAAGTGATCATTTAGCCATTTATTTTTAGCTCAAAATGACAACATTAACACAATAAAACAGGTCTCTTTCTTAAACAGAAGCCTGTCATGCTTAACTTTTGAGAATATAAGTAAATCTTTCTTTAAAAGAACTCTGTCCTGCTTAACTTAAAATAATAGAAAAAATAGAAAGAAAACATTCTTGTAACAGTGCACATTTAGTGCATTTAGTACAATTGAGCTTCAGTTGAGGTATTATTTCAGCTTTTCTAATGCTAATCAGCTGCTCCTGTTTGTAAACCCGCTTGTTCCCATGATTACGCATCATAACTCATCATCATTATTCATCTATGTATTACTTTTATGTATTAGTCATCTATTTGTTGTAATCATCTATCCTTGCAGTTGTTTATTACACAAAATAAGTTATATTATCACACTTCTGGCCACATAGCGCTGATATTCACTGCACATGCCCATATTAACTTTTTCCAGCCAGGTGTTTTCCTTTTCCCATTCTTCCCTTTCTCTGAGGGGAACAAACATTGCTGCTCTAATGCTGGGCTCACACTGTGCGGTTTTTGGCCCATTTTGAGACGATTTTTGAGTCGTGCGACGGTTTTGGCGATCGGCCCGATTTTGGCCTTCATCGTGCGCGGATCGTGTAGTATACGTGGGGTAACGAGAAGTGATTAACACCTCACGACCAGCTCCCGATCATCAATCGCTCGTGAGGGTCTCACCACAGCCGCTCACACTGCTCACGCGCAAACACGTAAACGTCGGTGAAAAAGACGGAGCAGCACGGCTGTGCAGCGTGTGATCTGGACACAAGCGATGGAGGCACAACTTGTAGAACTTTGGAAAGCTCATCCGAGCCTTTTCGATGTGGCATCACAAAATGATCACGACCACAACAACCGTGAAAATAGTTGGATTTACACTGCTGCTCAATCACAGCTGCCTGATCATGTTTTTCATTAGCAATTTAGCAAAGTTGATGGTGGTGGTGTGTCTGTGTGAGTGAAAGACAGAGAGGAGCGAGCGACAGATTTTCTGTTATAACCTTCATTTTATGGACGCACAGTGTGAGCACTCAGGTCGCATCAGAGCATCGGGCGTATAGTAGTGAGGCCTGAGGACTTATCTACTGAACGCTCTCACACACACTACTGAAACGCTCTCACACACACTACTGAAATTACGCTCTCACACACACTACTGAAACGCTCTCACACACACTACTGAAACGCTCTCACACACACTACTGAAACGCTCTCACACACACTACTGAAACGCTCTCACACGCACTACTGAAACGCTCTCACACACACTACTGAAACGCTCTCACACCACTACTGAAACGCTCTCACACACACTACTGAAACGCTCTCACACAACTACTGAAACGCTCTCACACACACTACTGAAATTTTACCTCTCACACACACTACTGAAACGTCTAAACCTCAACCACACACTACTGAAATCTCACACACACTACTGAAACCGTCTCACACACACTACTGAAACGCTCTCACACACACTACTGAAAAGCTCTAACACACACTACTGAAATCGCTCTCACACACACTACTGAAACGCTCTCACACACACTACTAAGCTCACAAAACACGAATGCTCTCACACACACTACTGAAACGCTCTCACACACACTACTGAAACGCTCTCACACACACTACTGAAACGCTCTCACACACACTACTGAAAATCCAAGGCATTTCAGTTAAACGGATGGCGTTTCAGTTGAACAGGAAGGCATTTCAGTTAAACAGGAAGTCGTTAACAAAGTTTCAGTTAACAGGAACGGCTTTCAGTTTCAACAGGAAGGCATTTCAGTTAAACAGGAAGGCATTTCAGTTAAACAGGAAGGCATTTCAGTTAAACAGGAAGGCATTTCAGTTAAACAGGAAGGCGTTTCAGTTGAACAGGAAGGCATTTCAGTTGAACAGGAAGGAGTTTCAGTTAAACAGGAAGGAGTTTTCAGTTGAACAGGAAGGCATTTCAGTTGAACAGGAAGGCATTTCAGTTAAACAGGAAGGAGTTTTAGATGAACAGGAAGTTGTGTCCAGACCAGGAAAGTGAAGGAAAAAGTGGTACACTTCAAACCACTACACAGATGTCTACTCAGCAACCTGCTAGTAGCCTAAGTGAAGCAGCCGCATTACTCAACAGTATATTATCCTCAGCAGAGACCATCAGAACTTTGTCAAATGCGACAGTCGTGGGGCAGCAACCTGTTGCAAGTACCAGTGTGGACGGACTGGATAGTCACTTAACATCCCTCTTTCCCTCACGTCAACGTAGCAGCTTGCCCATGCCAGCGACATCTACAGTCAGGAGAGAATGTGCACCTGCACCACGTTATCAAACTCGGCAATGCTTCGGCAGCTGGACATCAGGCACCAGAAGAAAAAGGTAGTTACAAAGTTTAATGAGTTTGTATTCACTTGCCTGAAATGGGGCCATATGTAATAGTCTGATATTTAATGAATATACTGCAGGGCTCGCAAAATCGCTAGCCCGACGTCCTGGAGCTAGCGATTTTTCCAGGCTACCAAAATCTATCTCTGCCCTGCCCGTCGGGCTATTGTAGGAAGGAAAAATATATGTCAATGCTTTTGCATTCTTTCGGAAATGTAGCTGGGTAATTATGTCATTGGCATCGGTGAGCCACTGTCAATATGTGACATATTGAAATCGCGTTTGAATTTGCGCTTGTTTTTTTGCTTTCACTTTGCAATCGTGCGAACTGTGTATAGAGAGCGACAGCACTGATCTGTGAGTGATGATAATTTGGCACCAATTCCTCTGACATCGTCTTATTAATCGTTAGCTTACTATGCAAACATGACAAGTGAAATCTCCCGCAGCTTAAACATGTGAGAGGTTGATCGCGCAGAGAATCGCTGAGCGTTATGTGAGTGCGTGTGTAAAAGCAGCAGGATTATATTTTAGTTCTGCTGAGCCAAATAAGACAGGTCAGGGTGAAGAAGTGACAGCCAAAGAAAAGCTTACCACAAAACGGAGAAAAGTTATGACAAATCAGACTATAAGGCAAAAAGAAAGTGCAGCTTTATGGTTTCATGGACAAAATAATTTCTGTGGCTGCAATATGACGAGCTAAATAACCAGGGCTGCACATAAGTGGTCCGCAGGTGCGCATTCGCTGTCAAAACAAAAAGACACGCACAAGATAAGAAGTTGCAACGCGTGTTTGCGTACATAGATTTTCTGGAGGAGGACAGACATTTGTTTAGAACTCTTAAAGATGTCGAAGAGCTCCTTTAAGCAATTACTTTGGTTTTCCTCCACCTCCAAAGAAATGTCAGAAGGAGTCCGAACCACAAAAGAAGCGCGTATTCTCGGAAAAGTATAAAAAAAAAGTATATAAAATTAACCCTTATGTTTGCCTAACTACAACAATTTTGTCTATGAAAGCATTCTGTGTAGGGGTTTGGATAGTGTTCTGCTGTCTGCATCTCAGTATTATTAGTTATCACTTGCTGTTGTTTATGGTATCATAATATTTATATTTCAGAGCTATGGCCCAGCAGCATGACCATTTCAACAAAGATGTTATACTACTTCCAACTCCATCATGGGGAGTAGTGTGCAAACAAGGTTCAAAATTATGGTTACACAAACATGGGCACATCCTCAGTGCTTTTGAATTCCAGAAGACCTGGGACAACCAAACTGTCGTGAAACACATCAAGGAAAGCTTTGGTGAACGCATTCCAGAGGATGTCAGGTAAAATACTATTGTTTATTGTTACTGTGTGTATTCATGTAATGACTTGTACTTAAAGATAATATACCAAAGTAAAGAAGTTTAAAATATTATTCATCATTATAAAAACATATGGACTATACCAGTAGAATTTAAAAGTCATAAAGCATACACACAAACAGAACAGTATATAATAAAATATTTAACTAATATTTAAAATATTTAACTAATTAGCAATTGCTGTTGTCCCTATTTATTTTTTGTAGCCTCGAGTTTCTAATGGCTTGTGGCAATAAGCTGGTGTCTCCAAAGCTCCAAGATGGTCAGGAGCTGAATGGGATGCTGATCCTAAAGGTTTTTAAAACCAAAGCCCTCTATGTAAGGCCATCAAGGACACTTTTAGTAAGTTCCTAAAAGAATGAAAAGTAATCATGATTTGGGAAAAAACATGTCAACAATTGGGCTTCTAGCAAAATAGAATATATTTATTTAAAACAAGTGTTTGGGAGCAATCAATATGGATATTTCTTATTTTAATCTTTTTAAGATAAGCTATAATTACTTGCTTTTGATATATGTTTTTGGTCTTTCTCTGTTGAAGAGTGAATCAGATGAAGACAAAGATCCTTCCCACATCAGCTCCAAATCAGCATTAAGCAGTTGTGCAACTGATAAGGACAGTGACAATGATTGTTTTGAAGTTGATAGTTCAAAAATCCAACAAGACATGAGCAGCCAAGTCACTACAAGGTTAAGAAGTCATGTTAAAGGTGATAACCCTGGCACTAGCAGTGATGAAGAAGATGATACTGGGACCAACTGTATTGGAAGGAGTGTTGGTAAAAGGCAACGAGCAAAGCAAGGAAGTGATGGGAACAGCATTTGTGATGAAGGCTACATGGCAAGAAGTGATGACAAACCTAGCACAAGCAGTCACAGCAGAGATTTCAATGCAAGAAGTGAAGACATCCCTGCCATGAGCGTTAATGATGAAGATTATTCTTCATATTTAACTCTCGTGGCATCGCTTTCTGGCGATTCTTCAGATGATGAGGATTTAAATCAAGCTATAATTGCGAGCTTGGAGAATCAGATGTGAGTAACAAACATACAGAATTTGAGTTTGAGACATGATTATAGCTTTCCAGAATTGTCAAATCAATATAAAACTTTAAGCTTTAAATCTCTATGATCAGTGTGACACATATTCTCAAATTCTGTAACATGACTACATGGCTGATATATTTTATTTTCTGTTTTATTTTCTTTTTTTAGTGCAGAAAAAGTCCCTGTTCAAGAGATACTGCTGGAACTATCAAGCAAAATTAGCACAAAACAGCAGTGCAAATTTAATATAAATCGCTCTGCTGTGTGGGAGGGAGCCTTGCGTGGTTTTCAAAGGCTATCTTATGATCCCAACTTGATGATCTGTTATTCTATTTATTTGATTATTTATTTATTTTCCGCCTTCGTTGTATATTGGTTTCTCTTCTTACTTTAGCACCTTTGTGGTTCAGCTACCCAATTTCGCTGTCCAAGAAACTGCACAATGACAATAAAAAGCTCTTAAGTCTCTATTCTAAAAACAAACACCGGAAAAAACAACATTGGCCACGCCCCCCATTCTGGTCATTTCCAGTTCCAGGTTCTTCCTGCTCCAGCACCGAGCAGAGGGAGGAAAGATGGCGGCGACCGAGGCTGACAGAGATCCGTCCGCTTTATGCTCGGAGTTCCTGGATTTCTCCGCCAAAGACACCGCGTCGGTAAGCGGCTCCAGGAGCCTTGAGCACCGCGGACGCTGCGCAGCGTGTCCCGGTGTGTGGCCGAGCTCCGGCCGCTGCTGTCCGCGCGGGTCAGCGATCCGTGGTTGTTTTCATGCTAATGCTAATGGTAACCCTAAAGCGCTACAACTGTGTGTTCACGCCTGTTAGTAACGCTGATTAAGCTGTTAACCCTTTAATGAGACGGTCCTGAGCGCCTGTTTAACGTCAGAATCACCTGGTTGCAGAAGGTCACCTGACCTGAGTACACACAGGTGAACTTGCCTGTGCAATTGTGAGAGAACAGCTGGAGCAGGTGAGCATCTCGGGTATGTTTGACAGCTGATGGATAGATACATGAGGTTCAGGTAACGGGGTGGAACAGGTCCTGAGAACGCTTAGACCGCTGCACAGGTACGTCTCACCTTTAAGTATGTTTCTTTTTCCTACATACAGCAGGTTGTTTACCTGACTGATCACCTGATTGATCAGGCCTTACAAAGTGTACCCTGACAAATTCTCCTGATGGAGGATCGTTACCTTTACTGCTGATTCTGAGACTCACCTTTATTTTGTCCTGCTGGCTGAACATAGTTGTGCCGCTCTATAAGAACACTACACCTGTGTGTACCTGCTGACCTCATCAACCCAGCAGGTAGTGTAATCACCAGGTGGGCTAAAACTTTGCAGAGGCTGGAGCGGAAATACAAATTTTAATCTAATGAAACACTCAGAAGATCATCAGGTTCTCTGATCGATCAGGCTGCTCACACAGCTCTCAGGACACGGACCGTTTCCAGTCTGACGCAGCAAAGTGTTTGAAACGTACACACACACACACACACACACAGCTCTGTCAGTAGCAGCTGTGTTACAGTCAGTCTGAGTTTAACTCTTCATGTTGCTCTAATATTTCAGTCTTAGGCTCTGTTCACACTGCAGGCGAAGGTGCATCAAATACAGCATTTTTTGACCCTATGTGACCCATCTATCCGATCATGGTGTGACAGTGTGAACGGCACAAATCCGATATTTTCAAATCCGATCTGGGTCACTTTCGTATGTGGTACTGAATCCGATACATATCCGATGTTTTAGAAAGCGACTGCTGTTTGAATGGTCATGTTGCATTAAATCAGTCTTTTAGAATAGAATACAATAGAATTCAACTTTATTGTCATTGCACATGCACAGGGCAACGAAATACTTGTGTCAAGCCAGCCTCCAATTTGAGACTTGCAGTCAAGCCAGCCTCCAGTTTGTTTTACGTTCCCTGTGTATTCAAAGTATTACGGGAATGGATGTGGAAACCGGATTTCAAAATAAAAGCCAACTTCGAGTGAATTAACAGATATTAGGGCTGCTCGATTATGGCAAAAATGATAATCACGATTATTTTCACTGAAATTGAGA